GTCCGCCGGGCCAGAACGAGGGGCGTGGCTCGTGGCTGATCTCGGCGCTCCGCGTGGCCAGGATGTCGCTGGCCTTGGGTGGCCCGTGCTCAACGGGGCACGCGTGGTCACACCCGCTCAGGGGCACACGTGGAGATGGGTACACATCTCTTTTCTCAGGGACACACGTGTCCAAGGGGACACGTGCACTCTTGTCTTTTTTTTTTTTTTTTTTAGTAAAGTCTTGCTCTGTCGCCTCTGGGTGGAGCGCGGTGGCGCGATCATAGCTCACGGCAGCCTCGAACTCCTGGGCTCAAGCAGTCCTCCCGCCTCACCCTCACGAGCAACTGGGAGTACAGGCGCGTGCCACCACGCCTGGCTATTTTTTAAAACTTTTTTTGTAGAGCTGGGGTCTTGCTATGCTGCCCAGGCCTCTTTTGACTCAAGTACCTCCATGAGCTCTGGGCATAGTATATTTAGGGTCATGTACGCCCCTGGATACCTGCGCAGTTGCACGGATAAACCCACAGGCACAATTACACACGCGGGTCCCCGCTTAGGGGCTCATAGGTATCCCTGGACCCAGGTACACATAGGGAGACATTGTACACTCAGGCCACTTACACTCGGGGGACAGGTGTGCTCACAGGTACCCCCTCAGGGGCACAGGGACTCAGTCACACGTTCACGGACATACACTCAGGCAGAGCATTCAGGGTTCCTGTCTGCGTGCTCACTGTGTGACTGGTGCCATCTCCCAGTCCAAGCACGGCCGGAGTCTCCCTCCCTCCAGGTCCCAAAGCACCCAGTTACCCCAGTAAAGGCCCCCAAGCCACATCATTTCCCCTTGACTTTATTCATTGATCTTCACGAATCACAACACATGAGTGCAGGAATCAGTGGACATGTGCCCTGAACACAGAGGGTGACATAACCAGGCACGCTCAGGAGGACACATGCCCATCAGCCCTGGCGCAGCTAGCGACAGGGCAACCATTTCCAGCGATGCCTTCCCACGGAGTGCACCCGTCCTCCCCGCCAGGACATGTTTATACACACATCATACCACAGTACGCTCAGGCGACAGGCACACACGGTGCATGCCACCCACAACCACACTCACAGCGACACCCTCAGGGGTTCCTCGCTGACAGCCACCCACCGTGACACGCCTGCATTCACATATCACACGTGACACAGGCACGCACCCCACACTCACTGTGACCCCCCCATGTTCTCAGTCGCCTATCTCCTTCCTGGGGGGAAACATGGAAACACTCACCACACACACACACACACACACACACACACACACACACACGAGCAGCTCCACAACACTGGCTCATCGTGACACAATTTTTTCTAATGGGGGACAAGGGGCAGGTTTGCACGGGGCTCTCGGGTCCTTCTGTCTCCGTGGGCAGCTTCCAGCCCATCCTGTAAGCTACGGCTGCGGCTGCGCTGTCCTCTTGTTTATTAAGGTTTAGGCGCTGGCTGGGGGGAGGGAGAAGGAGACCCCAGTTCTGGCACATCCCAGGCCCCGCATTCATTCGCCCTCCGGGGAGCCCAACTTACGCTGAGGTAGCTTCTTTTCCAACGCTGCAAATTGCTTCTGTATTTCTGTGTTGATTTTGTTTATTTCTGGGGAGGGGTGAGGGGAGACGTGTGAGATGGGGGTGGAGCCTCAGACAAAGCCCCCAGTTCCCTGGGGGCCTCCTCCCTGCCTGATCCCCAGCCTGGGGTAGCGTCAGAGCCCAGGCGTTTGGGGTTCCCAAAGACTTTTCAAAAATTCACTTACTTTATTATTATTATTATTTTTAGTTGAAGTCTCGCTCTGTTGCCCAGGCTGGTGTGCAGTGGCACAATCACAGCTCACCCCAAATTTGACTTCCTGGGCTTAGGTAATCCTTCTGCCTTGGCTTCCCGAGTAGCTGGGACTTAAGGCACGCACGACCATACCCGGCTAATTTGTGGACTTTTTGTACAGACAGGGTGTCTACTTATGCTGCCCAGACTGGTCCTGAATTTCTGGGCTCGAGCGATCCTCCTGCCTCAGCTTCCCAAAGTGCTGGGATGACAGGCATGAGCCACCGTGCCCGGCCTCCAGAAGCCATCAAATATCCCCTGAGCCACTTAGAGGACAACATTTCTCCTGTGCTTTGGGAACACAGGACCCTGGTGTCTCCTTCCCTGAGCCCTCCTCCACCCCAGCTCTGCGTTGGGCACCGGGACAAATTCACCCCACGAGGGCAGGGCTGCAGGGGCACCTGCTGGCAGCGTCGTCAGTATCTGTACCATGGTCCTGACCTCCACGATGCTCTGCTTGATGGACTCCCAGCCCTTCTTCTGCTTCTTCTCGCATTCTTGCACGGAATTTGAGACTGAAGACATGGAAGAACAGCATCTGTGCCGCCGCCCCTCCCCAAATTTCACCACAACCCCGTGGGTATCCCCAAACCCTCCACTCACCATTCCAAAGCTCCCTCTTCAAGTCCAGCAGCTCCCGGGACATCTCAGAATCTGTTCAGGAGGGGACAGGAAAACCCTTGGAGCTCCCAAGGGACAGGGAGAGGAACAGAATAGCAGGGGGACAAACACTCGCCCACGCCTGTAGTCCCAATACTTCGGGAGGCTGAGGTGGGAGGATCACTTGAGGCCAGGAGTTTGAGACCAGCCTGGGCAACACAGCGAGACCCCCATCTCTAAAAAACATAAAATAATTTTTTTAAAAAGGGGAGCAAAACATAATGGATACTGGACCTCCCCTGCCTGTCGCCCCCCGCCCCCCCGCCCCTGCCGGGAACAAACACTCACTTTTCACCAGGACAATGGCCGAGAGGATGATGCAGAAGAGAAAAGCCAGAGCCAGGAGGACGTAGAGACTCATGATAGCTTTGTACAGCCAACAGGGGACCTGGACAAGGTCCGAGGGTGGCCTGGGCTGGGCTGGGCAAGGACAGAGAGGCAGGTCAGCTGACCTTAGGGACCATCACCACCGCTAGGCGTGTCCACACCATCTCTGACACCTCGGGCGATTCAGCCCTCCCAATCCCATCAGCAGCTGTGACCATCCACAACGCACTTTCACCATCAACATGGCCGCCTTCACCCTCACCAATTGTCCCCAGCACTGTCACCATCACAGATACCCTCACGAATTCCCTCACCAACCCTCACCAACATCGTCACCATCAACAGACCTCATAGGCACCGTCCACAGCTGTCACCTCTTCCTTCTATATTTTTTTTTTTTTTTGAATC